CTAATACGCCAATGCAAAAAGCTAATTAAGAGGTTTAAAGCGTTCGAGACCGTTTAGATAGGAGGTCACAGAAAATCAGTAATGCGACAGAGACCTCTGGTGGAAAGATTAGGTATATTCATGACGTCTAGAAGCGTTGCGTTACCATACTGTGTTTAAAGTGCCCCTATAATGGATTTTTTTCATGCAGTGTGTAACACAGCTCTAAGTGAATGAAAACATCCTGCAAAGTTTTAAATCTGAAAGTGCACTGTGTATAAAGTTATTGTCTCTCAAAAGAAAGAATCGACTCTGAATCATTGAAACCAGTCTTTTAAAAAGGAATCCCAAGCCTTGTTGACGTCAACATGAAACATTAGCATATTGCCCGCCCACTTGTTAGTCTTTTCGCGTTGGTTGAATGAAAATGCAAATTCATTCTTTGCCACTAGGTGCAGCTTTTGGAGCGGTAAAAATAGCTGTTTCCCCGGTAGCGGCTGTACACAAAGCAGCACTGCACTTGCTGCTTTATTATGGGATTACATTTGTGTCAATTAAAATGAATGTAATTTTTCAAGAAACTTAAGAAAATATAAATTGAAACTGAATAAAATGTCTTTGAAACTGAAAAAAATGAATGCAGGCAAAATCTTTGACTTCGTTTTTAATACACTGCTCTTTTCTGTTTTCTCTTCTTTCATTCGCGGATTTGTACTTACAAATGTGCTTCCGGAGTTTTCATTTACGCTTCTAAAGCTTTACGTTACGTTTCTGAAGTTTTCGTTCGCCATTCTGACACAAATCTCTCGTGGGGGTGGGGCTAGCAGCAGTGTGTTCTCATTGGCTACTGAGTTTTTGATTGACAGCTTCTTGACCTGGAAGTGAAGGCGTCAGTGTTGCCTTGCCAGTGTGGATGTGAGCATCTCTTAGCAGCTTCCAATTTCATTTTAATGATATAAAGTTAGGAGTTTTGTTTTTGAATTCAATCTGTATTTATCTGTTGCTATTACTCTGTCCACATAAGCTTTTAGGAGCGCGAGGAATCAAACGCGAGAGAAAAAGAAGGTCATATTGAGGTTTAATTATTAAAGTACTGTATATAATACTGGAAATATTGTATAATGTCCAATGTTCTTGTAGGATATTTGTTTATTGCTCATGATTCTTTTGCATTGTAGGGTCTAATTAGGTTGTGCCCTTACATTTGAAATATATGTGTGATATATTTCATTCGTCAAAAAAGTCTCTCTTCAAGGTAATTTTATTACATATTCCACACAATGTTCTTGCAGCCAATTGTATTTGTCATGCTGATAATTTTGTTTAGTTAACATTATCTAACGTTTAAACTTGGAAATACATTTTAACAATCATCAACTCTTTCAAGTGTGACTTTTCAAATAAATGTAAATTCTTTATTGTCACTATAGCATATACACAAGTATCAAAGTGAAAGTCTTGGATGCAATTATGTTGTGACAGGAAAGACCAGAATCCAGGAAACACTAACTGCGTAGTATACATGCAATGCACAGTACTCTCATAATTTACATTACTACACAAAATGCACAAGAACATAATATACAGAATATGTTCACAATTCATAATATGTTTTAAACTGCAATGATCCTTTCAACAGTTTCTGTTACAGTATAAGTTACAAAACAGTGAATGTGTATGTTATGTAATGGAGTGCAATATCAGTCTTTACAGGAATATTCCACCCCAAAAAATGAAAATTCTCTAATTTACTCACCTTCATGACATTCCAGATGTGTATGACTTTTCTTTCTTGACATAAACACAAAGATTTTTAAGAAAATAATCCATCTCTGAGAATCCACATAACACAAGTGAATTGTAGCCCATGCACGTATGACTGGAAGTGATTGGAAGTGATTGTTAATAGTCAAAAGTTTAAATTATTAGTGTTGTTCTTATCTGTTGTTTCACTTCAAAATATACTGATTCAACCATTAAGGTCAGATGGATTACTGTCACGGTAGCTGTGTGTGGTTTTTAAAGGGGTCATATGATGCTTTTTTAAAGATCATCATTTTGTGTATTTGGTGTAACAGAATATGTTGACATGCTTTAATGTTCAAAAAACACATTCTTTTTCAAATACTGTA